GAGACCTTAAACAACCACAGAGAGACCTTAAACAACCACAGAGAGACATAAAACAACCACAGAGAGACCTTAAACAACTACAGGGAGACATAAAACAACCACAAAAAGGCCTAAAACCACAAAGAGATGCAAAATGCCAACAGAGAAAAGCAAAACGACTGTAGAGACACGAAACGCATAGAAAGAGACTCAAAACAACCACAAAGAGTTGCACAAAACAATTTACAAAGCAATAACAAATCAAGGCATGATTACAAAAGGTGCTGGGGGACACACCATTCCGTCCGTGGTCCATGATTGGATGGTGCCTATCGCCACCAGACCACCTATTGTTCTATTTCTGAAGTGTGTATGCTTGTGTCGTCACGTTCAGGCACACACACCTTGGAGGTCAGAGGTCGTGCAGACAGGCAGCAAGCCTCCGCGTCACATTTTTTTACAGTGAGGAATGAGGGCCACCGGCTGATGAATGATCTCCAGGCGACGTGTGTGTGCACGTTGCAGCCACAAATTGCATCTTAATGATTCTCTTTACAGATCATCACCCTGCCCGGGAGGGGTAAAGTGGGTAGTGATGTGAGTTGTACCCCCCCACACACACAAATGTGGTATGGGTATTAGGGAGTTGTGATGGAAGAGCCTTGTTGGAGAAATTGGGGGCAACGGACCAAGAAAACAGTTTGTGTGTGTGTGTTAGCCGTGGAAAAAGGATAAATGGTGTTTAATTGGTCTCGCAACTTACAACCCATAATGTAAACAGAGCGAATCCGCTTGAATTGTACAAATTGTGACCTACGTGTGACTAATGATTAATGTGTAAACTGTGTGCCTTCAGATCGGTATCACCACACTGATTCCATTTACCGTGCAGCTCTTCCAGCTTTTCGCTCCGAATACTTACCTGTCCCGCCTTTCCCAGTCACCTGACCTCGCACCTCCCTGCACACCTGTCCCTCATTCCTGTCATCACACCTACCTCTCGTTACCCCATTATCTCCACAGCACACACACACATACATACATATATATATATATATACAAGCCACAGCAAGAGGATGCCATTGTGGATCTGCTGTGAGGGGAAGAGGGATCATTTAAACAGGAAGGATCAGCAGTTGAGGATGAACAGACAATAAGGCGTTGCAATGAAGCGGCTCCACATCTGCTGGGCCTCACTTACGAGCCGATCCAGGATGTGTCGGTGCAATTATCAGTCTCTCCCCCCTGACCGGGTGTGTGAGGAGGAAACCCAATTGCCTGTTAAACCTTTCGACACCGCAGGCTGCAACACACGGATGACATATGTGCCCCCCCGCCCCCCTGAATTTAGAACTATTACTTTGCACTTGGATATTTAAAGACGTGGGGGAGGGGCGGTTGAGGCTTAAGACGGCTGTACACAATCTAAAGCAGGTTAGGAAACAATGACTTCCTATGGATGCAAACAAGGGCCTTTTAGGGTGATCCAGACCTTCATGTGACGCCTTCTAGCGTCTCAACTATTTATGGAGGAAAGTGGTAGATTTTGCCTCAGACCTGTGCTTAATGGCCGAACTGCTTCGCTGTCTGCAGCTGGTCCAAAATATCATTTGATCGGTTATGCCGCCCTGCGTGAGAGCTCCTCAATTTTGGCCCTCGTCTCTGAGCTCCATTAGCCCGAACAAAAGACACCAGAGGAGGCACATTTCTCAGGTGGCACCGCACTCCGTCAGAAGATTTGTGAGTCTCAGGGTGATTTGAGGCACTCTGTCTTATTTTAAGCCGCATGGTGGTGTCCCGGGAGGCGAAATAGGACTAATAATTGAGATTTGTGTGAAAAGCACCTGTGCGATTTAACGGTCACGGACATTTTTGGAATTGAAGCCGCTGCAGAAACGGCACCGGTCGAACCATCTCGTAATCCATCCTCAAATTACGCATCATGATAGTACCCCGGGTTGATAATAAAAATCCGTGACACTGTGAAGGCTCAGGTGTAACCGCTGAGTTCAACACATAGAATTGGACCCCCCCCCCCCAAAAAAAGTAAGAACTTTGCCGTTTTTAGATCTGCGACAGCCAAACGGAGAAATCCAAGAAACTCGGACGACAATAGAAAGATTTACATAATTGTAAAAAAGAATCCCTGTTCGCTCTGTCCAGTAAAAAGAGACGTGACAGATGGAGGAGAGAGAGAAGAGGTTTTCGCGAATACATCGGTGGCCCAGTGAGCCAACAGGATGTGCCAGCATGGGTGCGTTTGCACATGCAGGTGTGTGTGTGTGTGTGATGAGTGCATTTGTATGCTGTCGGCAGCTGAATTCAGTCGCGTGGGGAAGATGAATGGCGCTGGCTATAAGTGAAATGTTAATACTTGGACAAAGCACATAGATATATCCAAAGGAGGATGACATTGTACCAACATGCTGGTCGGTTGAGATGCTCCAAAGCGGTGGGGTTCATGTCTAAAGGTACTGGAACATACGAAAGCATTCTGATTCTAGAAATACGTACACGAAATTTTCAGCATACACATGTTGTTCAAAAAGCACTTAGACACAGTGTCTCCTCATCTCCAAGCCAATACAAAATAACACTGACCGCATACATGCTACCTGACCTCGAAAGAGAGCGAATACACGCTGATTTGATTAGCACGACTAGAGTCTTTAAAGGTCTCCTGGAAATGTCAGCAGAATTCATCAAAGCGTCCGTCTCCTTCATAAAGCCCTGATCAAAGGCATTCCCGACATACTGCGCCCTCTGTGTCGTTAGCTCACGGGTAAAAACGTCCGCATCTGCACATTATTGGTTTTATGGGAGTTTTATAAGTGGAGACAGACCGAAATCGGGGAGAGACAAGTGACATTCCCCCCGCCCCCTCCCTCTTAACTGCAGCCCCTCGGCCCACCAACTCTGCTGCATTTGCAAATGAGTAGGCTACAAGGAATTCCACTCTGTTTGGCTCCTAATATATTACATAATGCACTTTCTCTGTGCATTACCGCATTATTCTTTGACCTTTTGCATGATAAAAAGCTCTTCAAAACGTTGCTCCACAGCGCTACTAGTGGTCAGAAACTACACAGCGTGCCTTTAATTTGATGTTGAGTGGAATGTAATTGACTGTATACAGGCATAGCTTTGTTTTAAGGCGTGTGATTGATAATAATTATATGTGCGGTTGATTATTATTGAATTACTTACTTATTACCTCTGCATTGAGACAATAATGCAGTACATTATCCGGCAAAAACATGCCTATCCTGCTATGATTCAAACAAAACATTTGTTTTCATTTCATGCAGACCGTTATTCTATTTCATACACACTACTATCCTCTCGTTGATATGTTTCTTATCCTCACCAAAACCATCATTCTTTCTTAAGAAACAATGTAATTCTGTACCATACACACCAATATTCTTTCCCACATATAATGGCGTGTGTGCAAGTATGATTTATGAACTAAACAGCCTCTCGTATTAATCTCAGCCGGACCCATAATCTCATTAAAACAATTACCTTTCAATAGAAGGCTATGCACTCCAGTGTTTTCGTGTCTAACCTTGGTTTAATGTGTTGAATTACACACACACACCTCCACCCCACCTCACCCTACACACACACCCGCCTAACTCACAGCAGACCTTAGGCCACTTCAGTGGATCAAAGACATGCTGGTATGAAAACCCCCACCCCCTTAAAACCTCTAAACCTCTAAATCCCAGCACCACAGTGGCTCAAAGGAGCCCCACAACACACCTCTTGCTTTAAGTACTCTTTCCTTTTCAGGAAGGCCTCACAGAAGCCCCGAAAAAGACCCAGCTGTGAGAGATTCAGATTCACTCCTTTTGATTTCCATCCCATTGTCTGGGACGTCCCAGCGGTTATGAAATATGCTCGCTTCATGTTTGTCGGCCCCTCTGCGTGCGTATGGACATTATGCTCTCATATCTGCATGAAGGATTCCCATATTCCAGCACACTCACAGATGCTGACAGAATCACACCTTCTGCTTCTACACCCCCCTCTCCCAAGTTCCTGCCATCAGTTTGGGCAGCGTTAAGGTTTGGCTTTGCACACTGCATCCTCACCTCCGCCTGCTGCTGATTACCAGGCCAATGGTTTGCCATAGGTGGGGAGTTGCAGGCTGAGCTGCGGAGGAGCTCCAAAGATCGCTTGAATATCATCACAGTGCTGACAAAGAAAAGGGGACTCTGTGTGATGCTCTCATCTGACTGTGTGGCACACCACAGCGAGGAACCCCAAATGACAGCGACGCTCCCCTCTCTTGCTTTCTCACATTACTCATGCTAAACCATTTCATTTCGACACAGGCAAACA